CCCAGGATACGGTTGGCTCTCTGGGCTGCAAGCGCACACTGCCGGCTCATGTTCAAGCTTAAAGCCTTTTCTTTAAATGAGTACAAGCCTTGTGCTAATGGCAGGGCTTCTCTCTTCCTGGCTTTTATATCCACCATTATTTTTCCATAATAAGGAAAGCCCAGATGAATCCACTATGGCATTCTGAACGTCATCTCTTAATACAAACAGTATCCATCTTTTAAAATTCAATTTTTCAGCATTCAGTCAGAAACTGGTTCTGTCACCTTATTTCATAATAAGATCTGGATGAAGGTCAGCGCTTTACTGCAGATTTAATTATGCTTAGTTAATCCATTTTCTCAGTAGTGCATAAAGCCTCTTCTCCTTTTGTTACTAGTAAGTGGCAGAGTGATGCTTAATGAGTAACGAGCTTCTGCCAGTACCTGAACCAGTTTTAACACCTATAATTCCGTGAGATCTGGAAAGTAAACCCTGATTCCTTTTCAGAAATTGCCTTGAACTGTTGTTTTCCCCCATTTAGAGGCACCGCGCTGTGCTGGGACAGTTCAAGGACGATTCTGAGAACTTACTTGCACTCCACCTTTGTCTTCAGCTCTTTGTCCCTACACACATATATCTACTATAGCCGTGATCTGTAGTCATTCCACCTTTTACAGTGTTCTGCTCCACAAAAGCCCAGATTCCCTGAACTTCTGTGCAGATCTGTCATGCTGCACTTTTCCTTTCTTGGAAGCCCATCACAGGAGGAAGTCATTAGGATTATTTCGGTCCCTGGAGGTAAAAGGAGTCATGGACTGCAAATAAGGTGCATGTACCTGCCCTCCCAACCCCGAACCACATGTTACAAAGGGAATTTATGCCAAACTGTTGTGAGCATCTTTCCTCGCTCTGGCCTAGTGAAATTCAGAGTGATTAGTAATTCCTTTGCCACCTTGGCTAATCAGTCTTTGCGCTCAGACCCCAGAGGTTCAGTCTATAATCTTTGTTTAAGTCCTTTTTGGACAGATTCCCCCATCTCTGACACCAGTCAAAGGCTCGGGTTTGGATCCCTTGTTCTCTACCTGTTTTCACATGCCTGTGTTCACTGCCTGTGAGTGCCCCCAATGGTTATGTTCAATTGCCAGTGTACTGCCTCTTCTGCTCTTTGATTGCTGTGTCCTAAACCATGAGCTGACTCTTCAGCTTTGTTTCACCTCCTCCTCTAGCCCCTGTAGGGGGAGAAGCTTATATTGGGCACTTCTGTTCCAGACTATTTTACATGGTTAAAGGCTCCTTCTGCAGGCAGGACTTTTTTTCCCCTTTTATTGCGAAGTGAAAGAGTATAACAAACAGAACTATTATTCCTCCATTATGCCAGTGCAACGTTTCTTGTTTTACGGGGATTGAACAGTGTTTCAAGTCACAGGCCACCAAGTATCCTCTCTCAGCAGCATTACCTTCAGAATGATCTACTTGCATATCCCTCTGTAAAAGCTGCTGCTGCTTCCAATGAATAAAAGCAAAGACCAAGTCATAATAGAAAAAATGTATCTGGCATTAGTAAAGGAGGAGAGGACCAGCAAGCATCACATTTCCTTCCAGTGTAAAGTTAAAGTCAAAAAATGTAGGAAATAGATAGAGGAGTTTAAATGTGTGCTGTAATTCACTTGTCCAGAAGGTCCACAGTGCTTCATAAGAAATGGTAGCTCCTGTAATGCAGCATAATCTGAGATGAGGTGATTGAGTTTTGGTTCAAAGTTTGAGTTTGTTTTTTTGGGAAGAAGAAAAGAAAACCACATCACTTGAAAGAAGTCAGTGATGGAGTTTTGTTATATGGTGTAAAATGTCCGAGCAGATGAAGTTACGGCATATTAAATTGTACTTTTACATAGAAAATGCCATAGTGAGAAGCAGGGACTAGATATAAAAGCCAGGCAAATCCACAGCAGCAGCAGCTCTACACACGTTTAAGTGCTGGCCCCTAATCACTGGCACAATCCCCAGAGGGCAGAGGTGGATTGGTTTGTATCTCGTCATCTCTTCAGATAAAGCGATGGAGCTTGAGGTGGGGGTAGACAACTATTATGTTAGGCACACACAACACAAATCCTAGTGAAATGTAAACTATTTAACTCAGAAAGGAGGTAAAAGGATGAAATTTAATATTGAAGATGTGAGAACAGATGTTTAAGTTCCCCTGGACTTCAGCCTCTGTCCATATATAGTCAAGGATTTTCTGAGTTAGAGCCAGTATTTCCATTGAAGCACCTTATGTGAAAAATCTTTTCTGTCTTTTACTCCTTTGAGACAAAACCCAAACGCTGCTTCTCTGAACTTGTCCACTGTGCTCTTTTCTTTTTGAGAACCTGGCAGGGAACGTATGACCCTGTGAACGCATCCCTGTTCCTGTCACAGGTAACATATTGCGAACGCATCCCTGTTCCTGTCACAGGTAACATATTGCGAACGCATCCCTGTTCCTGTCACAGGTAACATATTGCATACCATCAAAAAAAAAAAAAAAGGGGGAAAAATATCGATGCAAAGGGAGATGAGCATTTTATAATGAAGATATTTTTCCTGTCTCCATTTTACAAAATCCGAGTCACCCTGGCTCAGGTTGGGAAGAACCAGTGTTCAAACCTGCAGAGATATTATCTGCCTTTGGAATTCTTGGGAAAACTCTCAACCTTATTTGGAAAAGTGGGATCTGCTGTGATAGTCATGGCCTTGACTAACTGGGAGAAGGATCCTGAACACCTTCTCCCTCCAGATTAACTCCTGATCCATCTGTGTGGCACCCTTTGGGGCCGATGGCACCTTAGACATCTCACACTTGTTTCCAGAGCACTCCACAACGTCTCAGGCAACCTCCCCAAGGGCTAAAGTCCTCTTTGCCCTATTACTCCTATTAATGCAAGATCGTGCAATCAATGGTCCTACATCAGCAATATACTTATGGATGCACAGCTTTTTTCCTGTGCCTCCCCTGTGGGACCAGGGCCACAGTACTGGGTTCAGGCTGTGGGATAGAGCCAGGGAACAGAGACCTGACCAGCAATAGGTATCTCTAACCTATAGCCAGCATTCTCCAACGTCTCGGTCTCCAGCAGACAGGACAGGATAAGAGCAGGTCACATGCGGAGATAAAAGACACTCCAGCCCTGTCCCTGTTCTAGGAGGAGTCCTGTGCCAGCAAGATTATGGTGCTGGGTTCATGGGGCAGAATAGACCCTGTGTCACAGGAAAAGCCACCCTGGGGAACTGGGGCTGGGAGATGGGAGGTGGCTACTGGCAGAGTGAGTGCAATGGTTCTGCATCCAGAAGACGAGCAACATACCACATACATTTACACAGTCACCAGTAACACAAGACCTGGCAGCCCCTCAAAGACGAGCCATGGTTTGGAAATCAAAGATATTTTTCATTTCCATTATACCCACTGGGTGTGTTTGATTGTATTTTGCAAGCAGAATAAGGCAACCAGAACTGTGCAAAAGTGGTGGACAAAGACACCCTCCCCATTTTGGCACATTTTTTTTACCATTTGCTAGAGGATGGCTACACCACCGCCCCTTACAATGTGAATTTTCTTCATTATAGAATTTTTCTTTTTCCCTGTAAAATCCAATGGAATGTAGACAATGAACAATTTCACATTTAGAAGCCAACTTTTCATCAGGGTTTATCCTTTTGATTTGGAAACTGGCTCATTTAAGCTGGAAAATTCTGTGAAATGTTGCAATAAAAGAGGCTCTATTTTTGCATTAGCTAAAATATGCACACACAGAAAACCCAAGCAATACAAAAGCAAGCAAAGAAATGCCCAGCCCATAAGCTCCAAGTTGCTTAAAATTTCCCATTTCAAGTACAAATGCCTCATAGATCCTTGCCATCTCTAATAATAATGCAAGCTGCCACCCAACAACAGCATAACATTTCCACCAGGCAGTATATTTTTCCTTGCAAAACCTAGTGAATGTGGCTTCCTTCAGCTGCCTAAATGCCATCTCAGTCTGTTGCAATCGGCTGTAAACTTTCAAGATACTAGTCATATGTCATAAACTCACAACAGTTTCTGGATTTGCCTTAGGACTAAAATGTTCCTGGGCAAAAGCGATTCACTGAGGAAGAAGTCCTACCCTTTGTTGTTTTCCTGATTCCCTAGACGTAACTTCTCACTGATTTCCAGCCCCTACCACCACCCTTCATGCCTACTTCTGTGCGTGCCATTTTACTTTATAAATTGGATCCATCCCAGTTCCAGCCATCAGAATCAGGAGTATCTTGCTTTTCTGTATTGTAAAACAAAACAGTAATTGCACATCCCATTTAATACCACAGAAGGGATTACTCTACTACTGTTGTGGGGTCATAGAAAATGCCTGTCTTGTGTCTTTAAGACTGCCTCTCCTACCTTTGGTATATGCACAGTGTTGGTTTTTACCAGCATCTTTTGATGAGCATCTCAGAAGTAGAAGATGATGGTGCTGCCGGTTCAGTCTAACTATGAATAGAGATCTGTCCACCCTGATGTGCCAATCAGCAAAATCAACAATCTGTTCTTTGCTAACTGTAGTTCTATGCTTCTCTACATCTTTTTGTTTGGTGCCTCCTGTATGAAAACAGGCTGAGAAAGTTGGGGCTCTTCAGCCTGGAGAAGAGAAGGCTGCGTGGAGACCTCATAGCAGCCTTCCAGTATCTGAAGGGGGCCTATAGGGATGCTGGGGATGGACTCTTCATTAGGGACTGTAGTGATAGGACAAGGGGTAATGGGTTAAAACTTAAAACAGGAGAAGTTTAGATTGAATATATGTTCTTTACTGTTAGGGTGGTGAGGCACTGGAGTGGGCTGCCCAGGGAAGTTGTGAATGCTCCATTCCTGGCGGTGGTCAAGGCCAGGTTGGACAAAGCCTGGAGCTGACATGGTTTAGAGCGAGGTGTCCCTACCCATGGCAGGGGGGTTGGAACTAGATGATCTTAAGGTCTTTTCCAACCCTAACTATTCTATGATTCATTGGGGGGAAGGCAAAAGGAGGATCCAAATCCAGGATAGGCTTCTGGCCAAAGCAGCTCAGATTTTCCATCTCATCTGCAACTGAGACATGAAAAGTGCGGGTTAGAACTGAGCAGCAGCATCCAGCAGCAGATTCTAGCAATCTTATTTCTAAAGGTTGTGCATGTGACTCAAGTTATGGACTTTTAGACCAAATACAGCAGCACTAGGTACAAGGAGGATACATTCAGCCATTGAACCAAAGTTTGAGGAAAGGGTAGGATTTTTACATTCATATGAAGCCCACATATAATTGCTGACAGATATTTATAGAACATGACCATATGAACTCTGATCTACAGTGAAGAAGTAAGATAAGTTACATGAATTCAGTGCTGCCAGTTCAACATAATTTCCTTTCAACACCGTGACCAAATTGCCTTGATGTTCACACCTGTAAAATGGGGACAGTACTTTATGCCTTTTACAGGGGATAGTGCTAGACACATTGGTTAAATTATTTGGAGAAGCATCTTCATACACAGGGCACACATCATATTGCAAAATAGCTTTATCTGTACCAGCTGGTATTACACAGGAGGAGCTGAAATCTAAACCAGGAAAGTGAAGGAGAAGGTCAGCGTAATTTCCTGTTGGTAGGATGTGCTCTGCAAGCATGACTAAAATACAAAACAGAGGGACCTTGCAAGCAGATTTTTTTAGCCTGCTTTCCCTTCTCTCACCAGGTTGTGTTCATGCAATGCCATGGTCCCCAGTAAAGGCATTCCTTATTTACTCAGTGTGTGAACAGAACTCAGTCCTTTCACCTCAAATCAATTTTCCTTAGATTCCAGAGCAGCTGTGGTGCTATGTGCCAGCGACTGTTCTCCTATCTCGCATGCTCATGCTGTGCACAGTTGTCCCCTCTGGTTGCAGAGTAAATTAGAGGAGCCACCACGGTACAGCTGAGAAAGCAATGGAAAATCCAGCCAGGAAGCTTTTTCTTCTTGATTTCTGTGAGGTTCTCCATGTTTGGCAAGCTTTGCGGGCTCAGTAGCGGGAACTGAAAAAGAAAAACCATCACACACGATTTCTCTGTGCCTTGCAAAAGTCAAATAAATCAAGAAATAAAACTTCAAGGCATCTGTGATACAAGACTGGGTTCATGAATGTTTGAAACATTTAAACTCTGTCCCTCTGGCTTCTAAATCTGGTTGCTGGGACTTCATTATTCTATCCATCTTTTAAGGTATAATCACTTGTATCTTAAGAATTGTCTGGCTGTGTTCCATATTAAACTTTGCATGACTTGGATAGATCTCCATCACGCTGCCCATCTTTTCTGCCTTCTGATTTGTCATATGAAAATTTTCCATGTTATGCCAGTGAAGTCCCCATCATCAACAGTGGAGCCAGCCATGCCACCTCATTATTTCCACCCCTTTGCTGCCTCATTAGAGATAGGCCAGGTGTCTCTATCTGAATCATAGTCACTCTGCTCAGGCAGATGTGCAGCCCCACATCACTCCAAGAGGCAGGCACAAAGTGAGCTTACCGTTGCCACCACAGTCTTGTCCATCCATCCATTGTGCTACAGTGTATTCCTTTGCCCATCTCTTTACCCAGAGTGATGACAAGCAGCATATAGGTTACCCACCACAACCCCAGCATGAAGCTGGGACTTCACCAACAGCTCCTGGCCCTCACAGCCTGCACAAAGGAGACAAGCAAAGGGTGAAAGAGGAGGTGGCAAAGAGCTCAGCATGTATTTGCAAATTGGTGGAAGACCTGAAAATAGACCCTTCTGCCTCATCTTATTCAGTCCCGCATGGGTTCCTCTCTGCCTCCAAATTCTAGTTGTCCCAGGGGTTGTGCAGGGAACATGCACCCAGTAGGTCTCTGTTGTGCCCATTGTTAGATCTTAGCTATGGCTGCTTAATTCTCATTAAATAGCTAAGTTTCTTTTAATCTTCTTCCAAAACAAGGAGCTTAAGCATTAGAACAACATCTCCTAGGAACTTCCAGCTCTCCTTGGGAAGATATTTCTTTGTATTGAAGGGAAAATTTCCCAATAACTCTCTTCTGCTGCCAAGCATCAAGGCCAGAGGCAGCACCATGCTCATCCCTCATCATTACCTAAGGGATTCACACATCCCAGGCTGTGCCCTCTGCCTTTATTTTCCCATTCTCATTCCAGCCTGTCTGCTTGAATTCATTCAAAGGTGTAAGAAAAAAAACTTCCTGGGACAGTCTGTCCAGCGCTGCACCCACCGCCGTAAAACCTCAACTGCTGTACTACTGGTTCTTATCAGCCATCACACCTTAAAGTACAGAAGGTGTGTCTAATATTAGCCAGGAAGCGTCCTGGTGAAGACCTGGACTTTTTCAGCTAATCAGTATTAATAACTTCCTATGTTTGAAGACAGCCCATAGGAAATGCAGCCTGACTCATCTACCCTGTAATTAGATAGCTCCTCGAAAAAGTGCAGGTGTCTGCATCACAAAGGCACATTAGCCAAGGTGCAGAATATGCTGCTGACCAAAGGGCAGATAATAGCAGCAGTAATTTCCTCCATTGATATAATATGAAAAAGCAGTATTCCTGACAGATTTTGCATCTGGCTGAGGCTGGAAATTCGAGCAGTCATTTTCTTTCTCTCTCTTACCTCCCCTATGGGAAATCTGTAATACGCAAAAAAGCTTTGATTTATTTTTTACATGCTTGCAAATTACTAGAAAATAATTATGAATCAAAATTTCATGAAAACCGAAAAATATTCAGGCCTATTTGCTATATAGGTAATACCTAGACTGTGAGTCTTACCCAATATATTTGTTTCCTGTGTTCTTTCTTTCCTGCCAAGTTCAGCCGTATATCACTTTTATGTATCTGAAGGCAATGGTGTAATGCAATATGAAGCTATGAATGGGATAAAGTTACATATTCTCCATTGATTTTCCATTGTATCCATTATCTTTAATGCTGGAATGCAGGTTACTGTGAGCGCCGGAAGCCTCTGCACCTCCACACTGACTGCTGCCTTATGAAAACCATTCCCCGGGGGCAGATAAAATCAGCTGCAAGTTGCAGAGAGGAGACAGGAGTTCCCCAAAGTGTCTGGCTTAATGCAGGAAGCAAGTGGTTCTCCTCCTGCCTGCAGGAAAGAGAGGGAGAACGTAGACTCGGGGAGGGAGATGCAAGGGAGCTGGGAGGAAACCAGAGAAGGGCTGAAACTGAAGGGTGGGAAGAAGAGGGGAAGGAAGGGAGAATGACAGATCTGCCTCAAGGCTTCTTAGCAGCAGAGAAATGCTTTTTGCATGCGTAAAAAAGGAGGAAAAGAAAGAGATTTGTGGTCCATGATACTGCTGTTCTCTGCTGCAAAGTTCCCCAGGCACCACCAATATCTCTTCAGGAGAGCAGCAGGACAGCAGCGGAGGGTGCTCCAAAGCTATGGCTCCCCAATCCCGAGTCTTGTGGAAAGCAAGCTGAAGGCTCACTGCCATTGCTGCTCAGCACCATGGGTCAGGATGAGCAGGAAAAGTGTTTTCAGGAAGCACTGGAGCTTTCCACCATAGCAGCTCAAGCAAAAGCTTAGCATCGGCACTCAGAAAGGAGAAAGATGAGAAGGGTGAGAGGATGCAGCTGCATAGGGAAAGCAGGGAGGCTTGTGGCCCAGATGGGCCCGGTTGCACTGGGACTAGACATTAACACTAGTTCCCTAACAAGCTTCTCAAATCTCATTTTTTAAGGCCATGTGTTAACAGAAAACAACTGTTCAAATTTAGCAAGTTCCAGCACCACTTTCCCCCTTGTTGCATCTGGGCTGCAGGAACAAGAATCACCAATGCCACTTAATTCTTCATTCCTCTTCTGAAGGGTTAGAGGGGTTAGCCACATGAGTGGTCATCTTGGATGATCCCATGCAAGCAATCCCAGCAGGATTTCTCCATGTATGACTAACTGGTCCTCCTGGGAGCCCGGAGCTTCCCATTGGGAAGGCAAAGGATTCCCCTTTTTAATGTCAGGGCTGTCTGTAATCTTAATTCCTCAATCACCACTGCCGCCCCTGTAACATATTAAGATCAAAATTCTTCTGCAGGACAAGTGACCCCGTTCATCTTCATCTGACCTTTACTGCTCTGGCTACTCCTGTTGACACTTGTGACTAATTCACAATCTATGAGACAGAGCTGTACCAATACAAAAACTCTTTCCTAAAACCCTGCCAGGCTGACTGGCTGGCATTCCTCAGGAAAGCTGCTCAAGAAGAGCTGGCTCTGAATAACTCCATGGGACAACATTTCTGTAACGAGCATCTCATCCCAGTTTACCTTTAAGCACATCAGCTTGCAGCCATGGACAAGCTGCTTTGCTTCACCTATCACCCTGGGGACAGAGCTTAGGGACCTTCATGAGAATTGTCCTCCAGTTGTTTGGCCTTGTGGCTGACACACAGCAAATCCTTTCCATTAGTTCAAGAAAAATCTGGTACCTTGTTTGCTGTTTTAGCAGGGGCAGAGCTGGAGCCAGACTCCTTCCCTCCCGCCTCCCTTGCTCTGTGTGTATGTACGTGCATGTGCTGCACAGCAGGACCCCTTTTCTCATTTAAACAGCCAATTAAAGCCTACTTTGGCACTTAGCACATGACATCAACTTGCAGTACTTAAGCTGCCTAGCACAGTGTGAATTTAATTTGATAAAGGGGCAACTCATAAAGATCTTGGAAGGCTGGTTAAAGTTCATTAAGCCTTTCCTTTCAAGGTACACTTGCCTCCAGTGCAAAAGCTTGCCTCTATGGGGTTTTTTTTAAAGCTGTGTTATATCCTGCCACCAGAAAAAGGTGCCTGTGTCACATCCCAACAGGGTATATTTAAAGTCTCACTGTTAAAGTCATGTCAGGCCTTGGTTTCTTGCCCAGAAATGTGCAGAAAATAAAATAAAACCCCCTTTTCCCGAGTGCGGGGCGAGGAGTGCACCATGGGTTGGTGCAGGCAGGCTCCACAGAGGGGAACTGGGCTTCTGTCACACTGAGCTGCATTCATCCTCCTTCTCTTGAACCATCCGTAATTCCAGATGGCTTTCATAAACAGATGAGGAGGCTCCTCTGAGATCACTGGTTTAATGAAGCCCGTATGGCTGACTCATGTAATAAGTATTTAATCATGCTGATGAAAATGTTTTTTAAAACTTCCACCACACACACAGTGCTGTTCCCTGTGCAGCCACAGAGCTGATAGCACATCACAGCCAAGGAACCTCTGTTTGCCAGAGCCTCTCCAGGTGACTGCCTTGGCTTCCATCAATTAGTTATAAACGTGCACATGCGCTTAAGCATTGCCACCCTCCTACAAGGACCTGATCACCTTTGAAGAGACTCATCAAATCACCTAAAGAAATGTCACAAAAGGCATTTATTTCCAAGCTCCACATTCCTTGTGCAGCTGTTTCAGAGGTCACTCAAGGGTTAACACTTCAGTGTTTATATCTTCTTATTAGTTTCTGTTTGTGCTCTCAGTGCCCATGCCCTAAAAATTTGCAGAGCTTAAGTGGTCTCCATTTGTAAAGAGAGAAATGCCACAATATCTTGCAAATACTGAAGCATCTTAAGTGGTATTTATTCCTCTTGCCAGCAGAAGTCATCCTCAGTGTCATGAAGGAGATGGGCCTTTACCACTTAGAGTGATCAGCAGATCGAAGGAGGTGATCCTGCCCCTCTACTCTGCTCTCATGAGACCTCACTTGGAGTATTGTGTGCAGTTCTGGTGTCCTCAACACTGTAAGAAGGACATGGAACTGTTGGAACAAGTCCAGGGGAGGGCCACGAGGGTGATCAGGGGACTGAAGCACCTCCCGTATGAAGATAGGCTGAGAAAGTCGGGCTGTTCAGCCTGGAGAAGAGAAGGCTGCGTAGAGACCTCATAGCAGCCTTCCAGTATCTGAAGGGGGGCTTATATAAGGATATTGGGCAGGGACTGCAGTGATAGGGCAAGGGGTAATGGGTTCAAATTTAAACAGGGGAAGTTTAGATTGGATATAAGGAAGAAATTCTTTCCTATAAGGGTGGTGAGGCATTGGAATGGGTTGCCCAGGGAGGTTGTGAATGCTCCATCCCTGGGGGTATTCAAGGCCAGGTTGGACAGAGCCTTGGATGACATGGTTTGGTGTGAGGTGTCCCTGCCCATGACAGGGGGGTTGGAACTTGATGATCTTAAGGTCCTGGAGCCATTCCTAGCAAGTCTCTGCTTCTTAATGGCATAATGTACACATCCTCAGGCTTCTTGAACACTTTTAAATTTCTGGTCTAACTGGTTTTGTTGCACAATATGTTAGCACGTGTAGCCTGGGAGAGAGGCTAGGAAGGAAGTTGTTATCAGAGGCTGATAGGAGGGAAGTTGTATCAGAAGTGCTTTGTTTATATGCAGGAGCAGATAAGTGACTCAAGTCTTTGAGTCCCCAGCACTGCAGCACTACACATCCCCATGCACATGCCATGTAAGACACAGGCTTGGGCATACAGAAGATGCTTTAACCCCTGCCCCAGAGATAATGTAAGCACTTTCTAACCACCTGTGCTTGTTGTAAAACCTAGAAATGTCTTGAGCTTGTTCTTAGCAAAATCTCTCACCCTTTTCCTCTTGAGGCTGTGTTGGATTCACCGGCTGTCACAGCAGGCGAATGGGTTTGCAGATAGCACTGGGCTGATGTAATTTGGCCAAATTTGCTCTCCATGACCATTCTCTCACCACTTTGTGTGTAATTAAAACATGACAAGACCCTGTTTTGCAAGACAAGTGAGAAGAGGATTGGTGGGGCACCTCCAATGTAACACGTTCAGATACAGCACTGTAAATTACTTTGGAGAAGAGTGGCCTTTCTTCAGGTTGAAGAGTTGGTGTCCTCGACATGAAATGGACATGGAACTGTTGGAACAAGTCCAGAGGAGGGCCACGAGGATGATCAGGGGACTGGAGCACCTCCTGTATGAAGATGGGCTGAGAAAGTTGAGGGTGTTCAGCCTGGAGAAGAGAAGGCTGCATGGAGACCTCATAGCAGCCTTCCAGTATCTGAAGGGGGGCTCTATAAGGATGCTGGGGAGGGACTCTTCATTAGGGACTGTAGTGATAGGACAAGGAGTAATGGGTTAAAACTTAGACAGGGGAAGTTTAGATTGGATGTAAGGAAGAAGTTCTTTCCTGTTAGGGTGGTGAGGCAGTGGAATGGGTTGCCCAGGGAGGTTGTGAATGCTCCATTCCTGGTGGTGTTCAAGGCCAGGTTGGACAGAGCCTTGGGTGACATGGTTTAGTGTGAGGTGTCCCTGCCCATAGCAGGGGGGGTTGGAACTAGATGATCTTAAGGTCCTTTCCAACCCTCACTATTCTATGATTCTATGATTTCCAGAGCATGAACATAAATGAATGTAACTCCATATAACTCCATCAGGTGCTGACTGGAAGACCACATGATTTCAGTACATTTTAAGCTTTCTTCAGAAAGCCAGTTGTCTCCCTCTTCTCCAGAGAAAACCCAGGACTAATGGTCTCTTCCAAGGAGGCTGCATGCAGAGGGCAAGGGTTACCCTCCCTGGGGCAAGGCTGAGGACCTTAGACCTGTTCTCATGTGCTCTTGTCACTCAAATAATCCCGTGTGGGCTGAAGGCTCAATGTCAAGATTTTAACTAATTTCTTGGAGGATGAGGCCCATAAATCACTACCTTGGAGGGTGGGGAAAGGCTGGAAAAGTCAGCCTTTACCTTTACAACTGGCTCATCACTATTCAGCAGGTCCAGCCGCCACTTCTTCAGAGCTCTGGGAAAAGGAAGACAATGAATCCTGTACTGTCCTGCACAGGCTGCTGGCCACAGGCAGAGAAAGGCTCCCCTTGTTTTATCTACATGGAATTCTGTGGATCAGTCCAAATTTTGGCAGACAGGTACTTGTTATCTTCAGCTGAATTAGTTTTAATTTTAAATGTTGGGGGCAAAGCCACTTGAGGAGCTTTGATTTGCATGATTATCTTTTCCAAATTCTAGAAATGTTGAAAGCTGAAGGTGTGTTTACAGTATGTTATCAGTTACAAGATTGCTTACATCCTGATGGGAAAAGGGTTATTTTCTGACAGGAGAGTAAACAAGATCTCTTCCTCTTCATGTCATCAAGAGTTAGTGTCTTTTTGTAAGTAATCTATTGTTCAAATCACTGAAATGTAGCACAATGTTCATGGCTTTAGAAAATGTGGGGTTTTTTTTTTAATTTCCCTCACTTGATTTTATAAGACTTTTTTTTTTTTTCACTTCTAAACATGCACATATGTTGAAAAGATACCAGTATAGGGTGAACAGAAAGATGACTGTGATCTTGTCTCATCCACTTATAAACAGTGTGCCTTACCCCATGCTTTGTGATTGACTGAGGTGTCCATTGTGCATAGTAGGTGCTGCTTTAAATAGTTGCTCCTTGGTAGTGTGTTTAAGTGTTTAAGTCTTCAAGACTGAAAAGTCTTGAAGATTGGGAAGTCTGGTTAACTTTGAATCATACTGGTGTAGCACCTAGATGTGTGCTGCTGCAAGTAACTGGAGCATTGCAGTCTTTAGAGGGTTCACGATGAAATCCAGAGTTCACTTGCGTAAAGTGCTTCATTCTCCCATTCATGAGCTTACAGATTTTAGAGCTGCAGGATGAAACTTTGCAAGTGCAGGAATTCCGCACCCCTTCTTGTATCTCATTTTAGAGCATCTAATTAAGATGTCACCATGACATTTCAGAAAAGCACCCTAAATAGAAAAACACTGGAACAGTGGAGAGGTCTCAATTTCCTTGGGTATGACTTCAAACCCTGGAGTTAAAGGACACCAGAAAGAGAGCATAATGCCTATACATCTTGCAGCATGAACTGATCCATGACTCACAAAGTGCCCAAGCCCCTAACTGTCAGGAGAAAAACCCTTTAAAATACAGTTTGTTGCTATCACTGGAAACTTTAACCCACTGGCTTCACACTCAGAAGGCAAATGGCAGGAGAAGATTTACATGTTCCTCTGAACAAAATACTCCAGGGTAGGAAAACTTGACCTGACAGTTTTGAGGCGTGCCTGCCATAAATAACCAATTGATTGGCTGACTTGCAAAGCCATTAGCAGGTGTGAGGTGCCTGCTGAGATACAGACACTGCACAAAATGCTGGAGGTGCCAGCAAAATGGACACAGCAATTGGCTATGCAGTTGTCTTCCAGCAGACTGTCCAGGAGGGCTCATGAAAAATGGAGCAGTTTTAACCTGCCTTGTTTGACACTGTAGCTCTGTAAGCAGATTGTGCACTGGATCCAGTCTGTCATGGGCAAAGGGCTAAAAAAAGAGATAAAATGAGCACCTTGTGCTTAAGCACTAAACCATTTTGAGAGTAAAATATTTCCAGTGAAGTTGACAGTTGAAGATGATGAGTCTTTTCTCTCGTAAATCACCACAGCTGCCAAGTGGCACTGGTAGCTCTGAGCTAAAGGGGCTTTCCACCCCCTGAAAAGTGGCAGCAGTAGTTATAGGAGAAGGAAATGTGATGACTCAGATCACAGGCTGTCAAGTGAGTGGACCAGAGGTTATGTTTTACTATCTGACAATGGGCCATTTTTACCTTTTCTTCTATCCCTTGTCCTCCCAAAGAGTGCATGTGATACAACCACTGCTCTGTGCTGCAACCACACTTTCTGGACTTGGGCTTTTTGCATTATCCCAACCTGTTGTCAAGGGAAAAGATAAGAGCTCCCCTGGAGCACTCCCTATGAAGTCTTTCATTCTGGAGAACAGAGGCAGTAGGAAGCAGAGTAGACATGATGTTGGTCTACTCCAGACACTCAGTTATACCAGAGATATATGCAGAGTGCAATTGAGTAGGAATCTGGGTGTAAATGGCTACATAAATAGCAGCATAATGATGAACTAGAGCCAGGTCCTCAGGGAGGCTGCAGCTTCGGACATTAGCTTTGAACAACCAGAGACAGAGCCTTGTTCCAGTGTCAAACATGAGATGAGAAGTAACAACCGGGAGATAAAAGGAGGGTAGGAAAATGTGGGTATGTGAAATTACATTCAATTTGACCCCACTCAGAGGCTCAAGTTCTTTCCAACATGTTTCTGCTCCAGGAGATAGTGACCCAGCTCACAAGGACATGGTGGGTGTCTCCTGCATTAGCCAGATTGCTTCCTGTACTGGCTCTTAGAAGAGTGAGAAATGCCTAAGTCCCGGCGCTGCCACCACTCAAAGCCATTGGCACTTCCAGAACCAGAAGATTCCTCTACTACATAGGACTTGGTTCCCCTTAACAATTTTTCATTTTATGGGTTAGAATCAACAGCTTTTCTTTTCTCTCTCTCTCTTTCCAGGGAGTAAGGACTATAAGGGAAGAATTAGTTCCAAATAAATGCATTTACACAGTATGCAAACATGCACTGGCTGAGTATTAACATGCTGCTGCCCATGTTGCTTCCTGGTGGCTCTTAAAACACCAGAAATGGTGAGCACCAGGAGAGGTTTCATCTGCTTACGGGAATCTGGTCCTCTTCCTATGAACTACAAGACTGTACAAGCGTGACTGCACCTAAACTCTCCGTAGCTAATCTCAGGTTTTATTCTATAGTACCCTGCTATCCCAGCAACATCTTTCAAAGAGGTAAAAACATCTTAATCCCCTCACCCAGCTCCAGTACCCCCATTTTAATGCCACAAAGATACTTTCATGCAGTGCTGCCAGAAGAAGCATCTGCTTGAACAAACCTTCCAGCAGAGCAATCTGCAGGACACTGGGCATCACTGAGGCAAATACCTCAGCCATGCTGAAGGCTCTGACCCCAGAACTCATGGCATCACTTTAGTTAATGCACTCAGAAGACTGAGAGTTGGCATTGCTGGAGACTGGTTTTCGTGACTCCTCTTCACACTGGTTTGGCCTGGGGTCTCTAAAACTGGAAGCTGAAGTAACAAGCACAGGAAAAAAATAAATCAGCTAAATATTTCTCATGCCTGGAATGTGGGAAGTTGAGGGGTTCCTGTGGTCACATGGGGTATCTCTGCTATCAGGGGGAAGGGAAAAGAAGGTCAAAGGAGAGGGACTTTGTGTCTAGAAAACACAGAGGAAATTGCTGGCAAATACTTTGAATTTCTTCTCCCTCTTTTTTTTTGTGTGTGTTTTTTTTCCTTTTTTAGGGGATGTTGTTTGTTCTTTGTGTTTCTTTGGTTTTGTTGCTCTTTCTTGAACTGAGATCAGCCTTCGGCAAAGGATTGGGTGCAAGAAGCTGTTGGGATCTTGTTTCCGTTTTGCAGGCAGCAGCTCCTTCAAATTCATGGTCTTGTCATATAAATTAGGGAGATAAGAATGATCATAGTTAATAAGAACAGGAGCTCAGCATCTCATCTCTGACAGAGGTCAGTAATAAATGTTTTGGAAACAAGTACCAGAAAGGGAGGAGCAGTTGTCCCACACCCAGTTACCTTCGAGCCCACAGAAGTTTAGGATCTTCAGAAGGCAGATGCTGTACCCATGGCAGTTTCTGCAGTCAATAGACACTGTGCTGGTTTCCATAAGTATGTTTAATCCTATCCTTTGAAAGCTTTAGCCACCACAGCATCAACAGCGTAGTGTCCTGCAGTGCCATGGAGCCTGTTAGAAAACTAGTGGCTTTTGGTTCTTTTAACCTTGCTGTTGAGCAATTTTTTTAGGCCCCATCTAGTCCTGGTTTTACGGGCTAAAGTGAATAACAGGTCCGTGTTCACTTCATAAGTACCAAGGGCTCAGTCCGTGTCCCCTCCTTGCTACCTTCTTTCTAACAAGTTCTTTTTTTTGAACTGCCTTTTTTTTTTTTTTAAACCAAACATTACATTTTGTACAAATATTTTGCTACAGCAGGGAAAGTACTTGGTTTTGGAAGAGTCATTTCAATACAGACAGCACAAATGTTTATAAATACATACCTGCACACAGACAGGGTGCTTGTCAAAACACATTCAAAGGATACCTAGGTTCTTTCATGTATTACATACTCAGAGTGAAAATAACCAGCTATATTTAACCCAGATCCAAGCCCAGACTAAATTATTTTAAAGGTCAATTAAAGAACAGAAAATCTCACTAGCTAAGAGATAAAAAGCTCCCATTCATCTGCAATTCCAAGAGCTTTAACAGAACTAACACACAGAATGAAAAAGCGCAATTAAGTACAATTTCATATAAAAATCACTGACAACTCCAGCTTTCTATACCTGCCAAGACCTGAATTCAGATGACTGCATTTGGCCTACAGCAGTTGATGGAAACTCCATCACTCACTGCGCTGATGTAGTTGTTTGGAAACCAGAGGCTCTTGGCAGGGAAAATACATTTCAGCTTCTGTTGAATGACTGCACATATGACGAGCAGAAAATGAGATAGACCTGTGCTCAAACTTGGATTATGTTTTGGCTGGTGCTTAAAGTTCAGGTCTGAGGCCAAGTGAAGGCTAGAATTTAGCCTGCAACATAATCCTGAAATCACATGGACTCTTCTTATCAGGTATTGGACTCAGTGGCAGAGACCTGGGGTATTTTCTCCCTTGTGATTGCGAATCCGTCAGTTTGGCAGGCCCCGCTGTGCTTGCTGCATTCCTTTTCTTTGACCCTACGTGAGTCAGTTCTGGAAAACTCTTATTGATCACAAGTGGAAAAGAAAGGAAAAAAAACCCAAGACAAAACCCATAGATCAAATCTGTAGGATGGGTTTGAGCCATAGTTCAGTTTTCTATCCCAACAGGCTGCATGATGTCAGCTCAGAGATCTCAGTGCAACCCCATGATAGCCACAAACAGCCAAAGGAAGCACTTGCAGAGCTGAGACCCTAATGCAATCACCTAACCTGAGCCAGGCAGGCGATAGCAGTCCAACTGGGAGAGCAATGAATGCAGTGAGCCAAATCCCTGAAGAACCACCAGGATTTGTTCTCTCTGGCTGCTTGGAAAAGCTATTTCCAGAACTTAACTCAACACCTTCCTTCAACCTCAGAACAACTCCTTGGGTAAACATA